CAAAAATAAAGTATTAACAGAAGAAGATATTGATGAATTATATAATTTATATAATCCTGAGCCGCAAAAGCCAAAGGAACAAAAACAAAGGCAAAACACCCAGGTCCTTCAGACCATAAATGATGCACAAGCTTTAATTTATGATTCATTAGTTAAACCATATTCAGCCCAACTTTTAAATGAAGATCAACTTTTGGAATTCATCCTTCAACATAAACTCGAAGCGGGAAAGTATATCAAACCTTTATATACAGCATATTTAAAACAAATGAATAGAATACATCCAGAATTAATGAAGGGGGAAATGAAATCCAAAATCAAAGCAGATAAAATTAAACCACTTGCAACACCAAAACCTCCAACGACAGTACCTCCTCCTTCAGTTAATCCTTCATCATTCACTTTATTATATCCATTTCAAACATTAAAGAAGCAAAAAGATTTTAAAAAGGATTTCAAGATATTAAATAAACCAATTGACCCGAAAATTCAACCGTTAAAGGAAAAATTTAGTCGCCCTTCATTTGCACCATATCCATATTCATACGAAATCGATCATCTGGAATATTCAAAAGGAAACGTTACTTATTTATTTGTCATTAACATTAACACTAGATATTTATATTGCATTCCGGTGAAAGGGAAAACAGAACAGGAAACAAGAAGAGCTATACAATACTTACTAGATCATGAAAGAGTAGATAATATCAGGGGTGATGGTGATAAAGGATTTCAGGCAGCTATGACTCATTATTTCCCACAAATTAATTTTTACTTTTCATCCTCTCCATATACGTTTCATAATAAAATAGTTGATGCGGTAATGAGAACTCTTAGAGATGCGTTAGGGGTTAACGGTCAGATATACTGGGATGGAAATCATGACTCCATCATACAGCAGTTAGTATATTATTACAATAATACATGGCATAGAACTATAAACATGAAACCAGTGGAAATGAAAAATGATATTTCAAAAGAATGGGAATATATTAGAAAGCAAATGGAAAGGTTGAATGATGTTAAACGTGAACAAATTAATTCGGGGCTCATGAATTTTAAACAAGGATAAAGTTTTATTCATCTCGATTATGGAAAAACTGATAAATCAATGACAAAAAGAAGACGAAGATTTGACACAATAGCTGAATTTGTTAGATATATTAACGGCAATGCATTAGTTGAAGTTGACAATAAATTAATAGAAATTCCGATTTATTTTATTACTCCATTATATTTAAATAATATTTAATTTTTTTATTTCGTAAGAAATGAGTGACAACGAAGCAGTCAAGAGTCCAGACGATGAATATAAAAAGAAACTAAACAGAATTAAATCAAAAATATGCTATTACAAAAAGAAGCCAATGCGGTGGGGTTGAAAACGATAAAGAGAGGAAAGAAATAATCGAAAAATTAGAAACTTACCGTTCAATCCTTAAACTGAGTGAAGCAAAAATAAAAGAATTTAATAGAATAAATAAATTGATTGGAAGAGATGAATTTAATAAAGATGAATTTTTAAACTCAATCCAAATTTAATTTTTATTCCTCTTTGACAACATCTCTCTTTCCATCATTACTGCATAACCACATTTTCTCAATTTTAGTGGTTTGTTATTTTTAACATGTTCTTGCATCATTTTTATCATTTCCTCCCTTGTTATGATTCGTGGTAAATTTTGAGCTTGTGGGGTATTCATTTATATAAAAATAAAAATTTAAATTATGCCGTTCTAAAGTTTGAGACAACATGACATTTTGACAACAACATGGGTTATTCAATAATTAATTATTTTTGAAGAACTGAAGGTGTCACCATGTCACCATGTGTCACCAGGTTAATTAACTTCTCTGAAAAAATGAGACAACATGACATTTTGACAACAACATGGGTTATTCAATAATTAATTATTTTTGAAGAACTGAAGGTGTCACCATGTCACCATGTGTCACCAGGTTAATTAACTTCTCTGAAAAAATGAGACAACATGACATTTTGACAACAACATGGAAAATATGATGCAGTCCAAAAATAAAGTTAGTTTTAAAATTATTTTTATTTTTTATTCCTATATAAATGACAGCAACAAACAACAACAGCAACTATATCGTTTCTGATGAAAAAGTTATTGATTCATTAGCTGAGGAATTAGTTGTGGCAGAAACTAAAACCCTCAACGAAAGAATTGGTGAAAACAAGATTGATTTACATAACTACCTCAAACATGATGGAGGAAGAGGAAGGAAAACTGGTATGGCTTTATTAGTAAATAAAATTTCAAATTTAACGATTATAGATGTTGATATCAACAAATCGTACAATGATGAACTTAAAGAAACAGTTAGAAAAGATATTTTATCAAAACTTTCGGATAAAGATGTTATCGTTAAAACCGCATCAGGAGGTCTTCACATTTATTGCAACACTAATTTCTTCTATGCAGTTTCGAACAGAATGATTAAATGTTATTCCTGCAATGATTATGATATTGATATAATGACTTCTATGGATGAATCAAAGCGTTCTTTAGTGGTTATGGCTGATTCAAGAGTTCGCAAGAATGCAACAGAACCAATCAATACATACTCATTCATTCGTGGAAGTTATGATTCAACATTAACTAGAACAGTGAATGATATATTAAATGATTTGAATATTAAGGTAAGAGTTGAACAGAAGAACGAAGAAATAAAGAGTATAATGAATGAAAACAAAGATGTAAACATTGACGATAAACTAGCTCAGAGCATAGTTGATGGCATCAGTGATTTTGAAGTACATAATGATGGTGGAAACATGAATTTAGAAAAAGAAATAACATTATTCACACTGTTTCAAGCAATTAATTCGTTACCTAATCATTTAATTAATGAAGCATACGATAACGTTTATAACTTCTGCAGTTTAACAGAAAATGCAAAAAGTAATTTTGAAAAAGCACGTAGTAGATATGCACATTTAATGACTTCTCCATTTGTTTTGGTGAAGATTCTAAAACTATATCAAAAGGAATATTATGATGAATATGTTTTACCTTTATTACGTAAGCCAAAAATAACATTTGATATCAAACTTGACGACTCGTTTTTGATAACAGATATTAGACGCAAGGCTGAAAATCATCAGTATAAAAACAGTTCTGAAGTAATTGAGGATTTATCACGTGTAATCCGTTTTGTAGATTGTGGAAACAAATATTTCATTCAAAAGGACTATAATATTCATGATAAAATGAATCAAATATCATTCGTTCTTCAGTCAAACATGAAAGAGTCACTCAAAATGATTAAATTATTTAAAGAAGAAGGTAAAACAATAACAGCATGGGACGTACTACTAAATCAATTGTCTTCATTAACCGTTAAGGGTGTTTGCTTTAAATCTGATTCCCCCGATGTTTTCTCAACGTTTCAAGGTTATAAATACAACATTCTCGAAAAGCCTGATTACTCAAAAATTGAGATGTTTATGAATTTCATTAAAGAAGCCATTTGTGATAATAACGATGAAGTGTATAAATACCTACTCGGCTGGATTGCATCAATGATTCAACATCCTGGAATCAAGAATGAAACAGCAATTATTTTGAAAGGACTTCAGGGAACAGGTAAAAACAGATTCACAGACATTATTTCTGAACTTCTCGCTGGTTATTCATGCAAAAACATTACCGAAATAGGTGAGCTAACGGGTAATTTCAATTCAGTAGTTGAGAATAAAATGTTTCTTGTACTTAATGAACTCAAGAATGTTGGTGAAGACAGACTCGCAAACTTCAACGCTTTGAAATCAATTATTACGGATAATGAGATAAGAATTAATGAAAAGAATCAACCCAGAAGAACAGCACAGAACGTTGCAAACTTCATTTTCGTAACTAATAACGTTTACCCTGTCAAAATTGAAGTTGGAGATAGAAGATACGTAGTTTTAAGGGTTAATGGTAAATTCAAGGGTCAATTTGATTACTTCAAGAATTTGATGAATTCATGCACTAAGGAATTTTATGATAATTTACTGACGTATTTTATGCAATATGACCTTTCATCATTTAATGTACGAATCATACCGATGACTGAAGCCAAACAAGATTTAATTGAATTATCAACAAATCCTTTAGATGTATGGATAAATACACATTATGATGAATTATGTGCAGGTATGACGTGTAAAAATGCTCTATTCTGCAAACCATCAGACATGAAAGACAAGAATTTCCAAATGAGCATTAAGGATAAATGTGATAGGAAACAGAGAAGAATAGATGGTAAACAAACATGGTGTTATGTTTTGAAAGAAGAAATGAAAGGATTATATAAACAGGTTGAACCAAACGATAATGAGGAATCATTTACTGACGATGAAATACCTGTGAATGAAGCTTTATAAAGTATGATTTGAATTTATTTTTGCCTTCCTCCTACTGTGTTGTCAAAATGTCATGTTGTCTCATTTTTTCAGAGAAGTTAAATAACCTGGTGACACATGGTGACATGGTGACACCTTCAGTTCTTCAAAAATAATTAATTATCGAATAACCTGAAAACATGAGACTTTGTCTCCGGACTCTTTGAGTCACTTAACGTAAACATTAACGATAAAATATATTTCCTATGTTGTTGTCAAAATGTCATGTTGTCTCATTTTTTCAGAGAAGTTAAATAACCTGGTGACACATGGTGACATGGTGACACCTTCAGTTCTTCAAAAATAAGTCATAACTACCTTCCTCCTACTGTGTTGTCAAAATGTCATGTTGTCTCATTTTTTCAGAGAAGTTAAATAACCTGGTGACACATGGTGACATGGTGACACCTTCAGTTCTTCAAAAATAATTAATTATCGAATAACCTGAAAACATGAGACTTTGTCTCCGGACTCTTTGAGTCACTTAACGTAAACATTAACGTAAACATTAACGTAAACATTTATTTCTGCAGTTCATCCATTACTTCATTACCTAATTAATTACAGACATAAAATATATTTAGTTCATTCATTGAACTCTATACCATGCGTAAACTGTCATGTAAGGTGGCATGTATTCTTTACTTTGTCCCGTTGTTTGTGTATATCCTGAAACGTGATGTGTATGGTTTCCTTCTCCCTGAGTGTCACTCCAGTAACAATTTATGGCAAACTTAACGTTGTCTTTAACATCATATCCTTTACCTTTTGTCATTCCTGACCAATCCCAATATCTATGCTTATGCCAACCTGCTTGAGATGTGCTTAAATCTATGTAGTGACTGTGTGCAGGTAAATTTTCACCTGAAATCGTTTTACTTCCTCCTGTTTCCTTTGAAGAGTTTGCACAATACAAAAACCTGTCAACTATTTGTTCCCATGCACCAACACCAAACATTACTTGAGGACCTCTTGCATCCATAGATGTATAAATAGAACCTACTGGGTTCATTAAATCAAACATATGAGATAATATAGGATTGTCTCTTTTGAACTTAAAATATAGTGTAACTATTTCAGGTTTCTTCTGGTTTGTGTCAGAATATTTTTTATAATATAATCTTATGTTTTCGGGGTAGGTAAAATCTTGACTATAATATTTATTTCTGTCATCTGTATAATAATATACTATTCTCGTTTTTTCTATTGCATTATATCTTTTATATCTATAATAATCTAAATATAATGTTTGCTTTTTTGGGTCTACACGTGCGTCAACACCATAGTCATAATAATATGGTGCTGGAGCTGGGTCAGGCAATGTCATATCTGCCATTTCATAAACTCTTAAATATTTCTTTTGTTCGTCTCCATATAAGTTTAAGTAACAGTTGTTGTCTAATGGAACTTTAACTTGTGTACCATTATTCTTTATATAGCTTACATACATTTCATTGTTATTTTTCGGAATGAGTTTATATCGTATACCATTTCTTAAGGACTGTACAAACTCCCATCTAAAATATTTATTTTCTTCATTGACAGAAACATCCCCAACAATAGTTTCAATATTTTTCGTTGTTCCTATCAAACTTTGGTATATTTCGTTAACATATTCCTTATTTGCCTTCTTCCCTAACTCATCGTTAACATATGTTTTATCCGCTTTAAGGTCTAAACATCCTGAAACCCATCCTGTATCAGCTTTAGTTTTTAAAATCTTTGATGTCCGTTCATGGTACCATTCAACCCTTTCTATAATTTCATTATCTTTTTCATCAACATATTCCTTATCCGCCTTCTTATCTAACGCAGCAGCAACACAGTCCTTATCTGCTTTCTTATTTAACTCACTATCCACATATTCCTTATCTGCTTTCTTCATTATGTCATTTAGGAAACCTTCTATGAATTCCTCATTTAAATTAAATCTTCCAATCTTCAAAACTTTAGGAAATGCATTTAATGCGTAATATCTCTGTTCTTCTGGTGGAATTGATGTTATATCATCCGTTATTCCTTTAATTTTTGAATTCATAAATAAAATTTCTTTTATATTTGATATCACCGCACCACCTTTGCAAACGAATTCGAAATGATCATTTTTCAATACTATCTCCAAATCTCCATATTTCAACCTTTGCGTTTGTTCTGCCGTCTTTGAATTATATGCATATATGGCGTATGTAATGGTCTGAGGGACCTGGGTGCTTTGTGCCTTAAGTTGTTGTGGTTGCTGTTGTTTAATCATTTATTATGATTTAAAAATAAATATTTAATCCGTTATCTCATCAGCTATTTTCTCTATTTGAAATTGCCATAATATTTCATTCATAAATTCTAAATTACAATCAAATAGGTCAGTTATTCTAAATTTAATATTTGATAAATCTTTTGAATGAAGAATAAATGAATTCCCGGATAATTGAAACGGATATGATAAAGAAAATATGTTTAAGTTGATGGATAAAATGTTTTGTATTGATGGGTAAGAGTTAGGGTCTAATGTTTGATGTGAAAATCTCATTGGGGTATTAACTTTATCACATTTGATTAAAATGAAATTGGAACCAGTGTCAGAATACAAAACATCCCCAACATCTTTTTCAAAATTTAATATCCCCAACAATGAACGAAGATGAGGAGTACAAAATTTAATTTTCAGCGGGAATTTAATAAGGTTATTTATTTCATCAAGTTCAAAAAGTTTATCGGGTTTTGATTTAAAATTTTCTTCATACCATACGATAAATGATTCATTTAAATAACTTAAAATCATGTTAATATCCCATTTCGCTATCACATTATTTATATACATATCATACGTTTTTTCAAGGTCATCTTTAATAAATGATATATAATCTGAAGGGTCTAAAAGAATAGGATTAAATTTACCACTCACAGAAACGAGAGTAACATTATAAATTCCGCTAACTGTTAAATTTAATTCACAGTTATTATTCGAAATAATATTGATAATTGACATTTTTATTACGATTAAAAATATGGTAAAGCGTTATTTTCCAGTGATAAATAAAACTAGAATAAGATTACCTCAAGAATTCATAAATTCAACGAATAAGAAATTCATTCATGTTATAAATTTTAGTGTTTTCAGAAAATATGAGTCAATGTCATATTCATCATCGGTTATATTTCACTTCATTCAAATTTAGTTCAATCAAACCCATATAATGACCATTTCATAAGATTTTCAGATGGTATTAAAAATGTAATTGATAGATTAAAATATGAACAGATTGACAATATCGAATTTTTGGAATTTTGGTTTAAATATCCCGATGGAAAAAAGATTGAAGTTAAAGATAAAGCTGATACTATAACAAAAACAATTACAATGACCGATCCAGATAGTGGAGAACAAAAAGAAATAAAACAAACGATAGAAACTGGTGAAAGGTCAATTATTATCGATTATGATTCAAAGGATTATTATTCAATAATGTTAATGCTTGAATATTAAATAGCCTTAACAAAGAATTTTTCAAGTGATATTTTATATTCATCAACTATTTTATTATAAATATCATTATATGTTAAATGAAGTTCAGTTGTTGTTCCGTTCTTTGATATCTTAATTGTGCTAATATCCTTTATAGGATTTATTTTTGCAACTGTTCCGCAGCATGAAACCTCATCATCTATGAAAAATTGAATCTTAACGTCTGAATCTTGAACATCACAAAGAATGGCGATAATGTGAATTAATGATTCATAAGGTAAAATAATTAAACCTGATTGGTCAATTAAATTTATTATTGAATCATAATTATTAATTATTATATCACGGTAAATTTTCATTAATTCAGAATTAATGTCTATTTTATATGGCGCATTGCGACTGAAATCGTAGATTCCTGGGTTCTCGATGTTTGATGAAAGAGGTGGGGGGTATGTTGGATAAGTGGGAATTTCAACGGGTTCTTTACCGGGTTCATCTTCTTTATTTTGCTCCTCCTCCTTTTTCGGTAAGTCACGAGTTAATAAATTTGGTTGAGTTGCTGACCTTGTTAATTCAGGGCTAACATTAACTTTAACATTTTGAATAATTCGTGATTTATCATCATTTACGTTATAACCAACCGTAATCTCTGCTTTTGCGTTTGTGTTCTTTTGACTTGTGAAACGTCTTCTCATTTATAATTGAATAAAAAAAGAAAAATATATTTAAAGTTTTATTAAGTTGTTACGGTAATATCCCAAGGTTCATCCTTGTTTGCTTATACTTTCTTTGTAACTGCACCAATTATGTTATTGATATTGCTTTGAGTTTCTTCCAGTCTTATTTTATCATTTACAATATCTTTAATCATTTCATTACATGCATTCTTAAAACCATCTGATTTTTCTAATTTACGTCTATCACTTTCTTTAATTAAATCAAAGTTATAACCTTGTTGAGAATAAAGTGGTTTCTTTATCAATTCCTTGAACGCTTCTGAAAGTGAAGATGAAGAAATTCTTGCCACTTGAATTGGTTTAAATTCTGCTTTCATTGCTTCTTTCTGTTCATTGAACACTGGATCGAATAAAGCAACTTTAAAGAATTTCTTAGCTGGAATTTCAGGTCTAATATTTGCATATTGACCATCAAACTGATTAACATATTGTGGTAATCCATCCGGTCCCTCTTCAATAGCATTTAATTCTTCATTGAAATAAGAATATGGATTATAACGGTATGAATTAATTGGTCCATTTTCACTTTCTCCAATGTATTGTTTAACAGCTTTTCCATTTTCATCAAATTGCATAGGATAACGTTCATTATATGCTTTACGTTTAGGATAATCAGTTATAGTTAATTTATAACCATTTATGACTTTAATATTACCTTGACCATCAGTAACGAAAACTTCATTTATACCATCAGGTTTTCCATTTGGACCCGTAATGTCTGCTTCGTGTGCTTCCCAATTTGGTCCATGACGTTTGGCATATGCTTGAGCTTCTGGTAATGTTAAAACGTTTCTCATTTGTTTAACATCCTTTTGAAGACCAGCAACAATGTGGACTAATTCTTTCATTCCGTCTGGAACTTTCATAGTTCTATTATATGCACCCTTTTTGTTTGTCCCTTGTTTTAATGGAACCTGTAGAAGATTTGCTATTTCTGTCATGTTTAATTATAAATAAAAAATAAAAATTAATTATAAAAAGTTAATCAAATTTAACACTTCCTTTATTTAAATCAACTATTATTTTTCCATGTTCACCTAATTGCTGATATTGTGTGTAAAGTTCATTAATGCTCATTGGTAAATTCACTTGATAAAGCATAACGTTCAACTGTTGACGACTAAAACCACTGAAAATGAAAAGTGTTGATAGATTTGATTTAATGTTTGTGCTTAATGCTTTGAAGTATTGAACAGCCATAAAGAATGAACACTGAATGTGTCGACATTGAGTTAATAACTGATTAAAATATGATTTCTCATTTGTTATTAGTTTTGATTTCACCGCATCATCTAGAAAAATGAGTGAATGCAAAAATTCTCTATCAAAATTTGAAATAGAAAGTGTTTCAAATAATTCATCCCGTTGTTTATCAATAATTTTATCCTCTAATCCTTGCTTCTTGATTGTATTATATAATTCTTTATACATTAAAAAGTTTTTTAAATAATCTTCTGCTTCTTCTTGTGATAAATAAATAATTGGAATTTTGATTAAATGCTTTAAAGATTCAAATGTATCATCTGAAGGTGAACCTGAACGGTTGATATAAATTAACACATGTGAATGGGGGGAAGTGTTAGCAATAATGATAATTTGTTTTAATATCGTTAATGTTTTACCTTTATTCTGTTTACCAATTGCTGCAGTGATTGAATTTAAGTAACATTCAGAATATGGAATTTTCATTAATTTTTCCTTAGATAGAGCATTTCTATTATCACTCAATGCTTCATTAATCATATCATCTACGTATGTATTATATACTCCTGCTAATTCTTCATAAGGGGTGGATGAATTTAAATCCATTTAATCAAAAATAAATTTATAATTTTAAACATTTCTATTCATCAATATTTCATCATATGAACTTCTATACTGTGGTGGTGTACCTGTTGGATGATATTTCAAACCTTCGTCCGGTGTCCATGTCCAATATGTAGTCCTAGTAAACCAAACCTGAGGAGGATTTGTCACCTTTGAACAGTAAGTGTCATTTTCACCCTGAATGATTGGATAAGCTTTCACTTGTACTGTAACTTGTGAGTTGAAAGTTTCTAATCCATCAAAGAATATACCCGCTCCATCACGTTGAACTGGAATAGTGCATAAGAATGAAGTTTGGTCTTTCCATGTTCTAGCTAATGGTAAGCCATTATCATCATTCAGTGGTCTAGTTAATGAGTCCTCGTATTCTTCCGTGCATTCATTCACTCCATCTAAATCAGAAGCTTGAAGCATACGTGTAAAGAATATGTCACCCACTGTGGTCATCGCTTGATCGGGGAAGTTTCTGGAATCTATAGTGACCTGAAGACCTCGAAGCATTGGATTTTCTAAAACCGTTCTTTGCATTGCATTCTTCGGAAATGCTAACACAACATCTGTAACATTATGAAGAGCGTATGAGAAATCTGAACTGATACCTTCAGGAGTGACGCAACCTCCATTTAGTGAACGAACGTCAATATGTTGAGCTGGAATCATGAATGGATCTTCCTTACTGAATAAACGTGGTATTGCTTTAACTGATTCTTCAATTAAACCGTATCCTGGTGTAATGCATTTATCCTCTAAAACTTCCATCTTTGTGCATGAAATAATAACATCTTCAACTGTTGCGTCAGCAGATGTAGCGGCTAAGCTTGTAATTAATTTGGTAGGAAGTCCGATTTGTTGGAATTTGCGATCATATTTATAAACATGATTCATAATCTTTTCATAATTTTCATCAGTTATCTTTTCATAAACGTAATTTTGTAAATCAGCAACTCTTAACGGGTCAACCTGACAAATTACTAAAGTATCCCTGAAAACATAATATTTAAGAATGATTTCACTAAATGATTTAGGATAATCATCGAACGCCTGAAATGCTAACAAATCATTTACCGGAATAATCATATCAAAAGTGATATCAACTTCTTCATTTGCTTTCTTGAAAACTTCTGAAGGGTCAATATATTTACCACATACTGAGTTATCATATTTTTGAACATTATTATATAACGAATGAACAAACTTTTTAACTTTCCTTTCTGATTTTGGTTTATATGTTGCAAATGCGAAAGATTCACGGGCGCAATCCATCTGAAGATAACCGGCATCACCTCTTTCGGTTTCTACTTCTAATTGTTTAAAGTTTTGATTTGATGATTTGTAACCAACGAATAAACGCATACATTTAAAAGCGGCATCACATGTGAAAGCTTTATTTGAAACTAGAGTTGCTTTAACTTTGCGTTTAATATATGTGTCACCTAATTGGTTCACATCATGAGCCGGATTTGTAATTCTTAAATGAGTTTGTTTATCATCAAAATATGGAGTATCAGAGTCATAGCATGAACTTTCAAGTTCTCTATAATATCTTCTACCGTCATTCTTTGCGAATATTTCATTTATCTTTTCGAATGAATGAAACACATTCCCATTAATTGGTTTAGTGTTTGGCACTAAATAGTTAGTCGTCATTTATTATTAAATAAAAAATCAAAATTAAAAGATGAAAATGAATTTTTAATTTTAATGAAATAATCAACTATGGCTGCAGGATTCTTTAAGAAACTGTGGGATAAAGTAAAAAGAGGAGCGCATAAAGTTTGGGAAACAATGAAGAAAGGAGCAAATTGGATATTTAAGAATAAAGAAGCAATTAGTGACGTTGCTGAATCAATAACACCAAAAGCCGCCCCAATAAGAGAAATATTAAATAAAGGAGAAAAAGTTTATCAAAGACTACAACCGATACTAAGATAAAAATAATATTTATTTATTTTTCCACTATCCACCTCCTATTTTATTAAGTATTCCTTCAGCAATTCCACCAATTGCGTTACCTGCTTGTGCTCCCATTGCCGGATTACCTGCTTTAGTACCTAATACTCCACCTATGATAGTTCCTGCCGTTTTCGCTACTGGTGCCAAAAAGTTTGCAATGGGTTTAATAATCTTTTGATGAACCCAACCCGCAGCTTTCTTAATTCCTTCCCATAATTTCTTAAAGAATCCTGCAGCCATTTCTGATTTAATATTAATTAAAAATATATTTCATCACTTATATTCTAATTTTTATTTAATAATAAATGAAACCAATTTTAAAAATAAATGAAACAGAGGAGGAAGAAATAAATGAAAGAGAAAATGTTCAACAAAAAATAAACGTTGTTAAACCAATTACTGAAATAAAAATTTTTTCATCTGTTGAAGAATTTAATGACTATTATGCTAATAATAAAAAATTATTTGAAGAATTGACAACGTGTAAATTGAATAAAATGTTTAAAGTTGAGGACAGAGTCCAAGACCCGGAGGGTCATGGATTCAAAATTTCAAAAATAAAAGGAGTGGTTAGTTTGAAATCTATTCCTCAATCAAGAATCACCACATTAATGAAAATTGATGATTTAACAAAAAGAATAGAAGAGATTGAAGAAAGAATAAATCAAATAATTGATTTCATAAATTCAAATAATCATTAGTTTCTTAAAGTTCAAAAATGTAAGACATGAATTTTTAAAGTTTATTTTTTAAAAAATTATTTTTTATTTCATTATGTATGGGCTGAGTGTAAATGTCTTACAATTTTGAAAATTTTTTAAATCTTGATTTATTCAAAAACGTAAGAATAAAACCGTAAGAATCATACATTTTTTACTTCATATGTTAAAAAAAATGATACAAAATCGCTCGATATTGTATGAATTCTTACGTTTACAAAAAAAGTCACAAAACCCATCCTATACTACTACTATTGATCAATTATTTTACTTAGCCACAGAGAAGGCTATTAAATTTGCAAATCTAAAAGTAGAAAATAGCGATAAGCCAACAGTTAGATTAGAAATAACAGAGAAGAAAAAGAAACCAATTTGCTGTTAATTAGTAGTAGAAGCATGCGGGTTGTGTGACTTTTTTTGTAAACGTAAGAATTCATACATAATTGAATGATTTTACAT